TAAGCATGGAATCTGACCTGCCTTCTAGTTGATCAGTCTATTCTAGTGGATTGCCTATCTAGGTAACTTGGTACGTCAGTCTAAATAATGTCCGTAGGTTGGAATTTCTGCTTGTAAATGGTTACTAGTATATATTACGAGACATCACTTATACGTCTCTTTAGGTTTGAGGCATGGCCGTTATATCTTCTATGTTTAGAGCTAGGATCCGAGCCTATACAGTTTTTCTTTTCGGTTTTCTTTTCGTCCAACTTTTGGTCTTGCCTTTGTTACCACCATCTTGAATATCCACCAATATATGGGACTATTGGAAATTCGATGTTCATACAGTTGGTGTCTACATCGGCTATTCCCAGGCTATGTGGAAATTATGTGCTTCAGAAGAAATAGATTATCCACATTGAACTTATTTCTTGTCTTTTTGGAGGGTTATTTTCGAAAATGGCTGTGTTATTTCGTCTCATCCTACCTGGTGGACGTACACTGCTACGTCACAACAGAGAACTAGAAGAACATAGATGATGAATCTACCTCCTTCCATTGAGATAAAGAGAGAGGTCTGGTTGCCTGCAGGTAACCAATAAAAAGCCTTGCTACCTGGATGTCTGTACATCAGTACCTTACCTTATTATTGTGCTGTTATTTCTCCTGGTTTCTATAAGAATGCCGCGGAATAGCTCGCACTGTTCCCCTGATCTGAGGCTAAATTGCTTCTTTTACAACTGTATGTCGAACAAAACTACCTTGAGAAAACCATTACATGACAGGCAAAAGAGAATGTACTCCAGCTGATCTGGTGTGATAACCAAATAGGGTTAAATCATGTTTCCTACGAAGGTCTAATGTTCGTTTGATTCAGCCGATACGATCATTTCGATCATTGCTTTTGTTCCCGGGTTTTTTTGGGGCGACATCAGCACCACATTCTTCCGGCTTTTGCTACTTGTGACACCCTTATCTCATAGCGTCAATTTCTAACTATTCGTCTTCCATACATAGGACTCACGTAGGCTAAGATAGTTCCTATTAGCAACAATCCTCTCCACTCAATACATCGATCATACCCATTCCTTATCTAACTCCTCGCTGGCATTCATCAAAACCGGTAGTATTTCAATTTCTGTGCAGTCACTGACCTTGTCTCTATATTATCACCACTAAGTACCAAGCTAGTCGAGATACATGACCATATCAAGAACCAATCAACCCAATTCATCACAAAAAGCGATACCCCCCCACTCTTCAAAAAAAGGAAAACAGGGATTGGCATTACTGAACATAAAAACACCCAGCTAGACGCAAAGAATAGCCTCTACAATCCTTAGTTGTAACAGCTCTGACTTGCAAAGGCACGTGATTAATAAGCGAACATAAGCGAGGCTAAGCGCGTTTAAGCGAGCCCCACATCGAATCCGCTTATAGTGCACATTTTTCACGAAACACCATAACAGCACGGCCGGCTGGCCCAATGGCAAGGCGCTTGACTACGAATCAAGAGATTGCAGGTTCGATCCCTGCGTCGGTCAATTCTTTTTGTTTTTGCTTCTCCAAAATCTAGAATGAGTTTTTGGGGTCGCGTAAACACGGGTGGAGGAGGGAGGATGGGCCCAAAGGGCCCTCAACAATCGCAGATTCATGCAGCATTGGCAGAACCAATGGAAATATCTGGCAATATCTCCTTTTTCTTGACTCTTTCATACATATTACAGCCGAGAGAAGAAAATCAAAAATGCAAGCAAAGCGACGAGAGCAGAAAAGGAGAGGGAGATCGTGGTCCCACGGAGAAAGGTGTCGTAAGCCGCAGGGAAGTTGAATGACGAAAAGCCTCACATACAAGACGAATTGTAGAAAAATTGCGTGGAAACAGGGAACCTAAGCAATGTGAGAATAGTCTGAGCATGTGAAAGCAGCAAGCATAGGTCAAGGGCGAATGGCGAGCCTCCCGAATCATATTCCTCATCAGATGCAATGTACACGTGTATATTGTATGTTGTAGACATAATCTAACAGTCCTCCAAGCACTCAAGCGGGGACGCAATCTAAAAGACCTGCAGGTTACCCACATACGAAGTATATACATATCCAGAAACCTAATTTCTAAAGATAGCTTATCCTGCGGTAAGCCGGAAACAGCACGGAGCTTTCAGGGCTAGATAGAACGTTCCGGGTCTTATGACACTAAGGAGTACATAGTCGATAACAGACACCGGGGTCTCGGGGCTTTTGAGATCCCGGGGGTCCTTTTGTTGATGCCAGCGATACAATAGTGAACGGGAGATGGGGGTCCCAAGCTCAAAGCTTATGCATCCCAAACGGGGCGTTTCTACATTAAGCGCAATAGGGCTATATAGTATGGTGGATTTGCACTGTACATCAATAAAAATGCTATCAATGCTTTACATAATGCCTGTTAGCTCTAGACATGGGTGGGTCGAGAGATCTACATTCATCACCACAAGCATGTGCTCGCCGCCCGCGTCTTGAAATAAGATAGGGATCATGTTGTACGGAATACATATCCAACGGTCAAAAAATGGTTCTTATCTTTGAAACATACATGGCTAGTCCTTGAAAGTATGCAATTAACCATGCCAAGAACCATGTCTTCCTCGTTGGCCCCAAGTCAAAAGTCGCCTAGTTCGTATGCCGCTCGGAAATTTAGACAAGTCGTATGGTTTCATGGCAATTGTTCATTGGAGGATTCGTGGTCAGACGGTCCTGCAGGGACGATGCAGAGAAGCAGGAAGAAAAAAGGGGGGAACCCTTCAGCTAACGAATAAGATATTGGTTAGCTAGCTGTGCAGCTTGATCTGACTGTATTGCGTTGTTGACCCCTCGTCGATGTACAAGCATATCACGCCCATTGTAAGAGGGGCTATCTGTGAGTTTCCACCTATACGCCACGACCGAAAGTTTGACACTATATTCTTGTGCCGTTGAGAAGCGGACAGTATACTTTCTCAGTAACATTGTCCGAGACACGATGAGGTGATCGGCGTTCTCTCGAGAGATCTTCCTCTAAGCTCTAGAGAGATCTTCCTCTAGACCCTGGAAGGGTCCTTATCCGATGGAAAGATGATTGGAAACGCGCAGAACCTTGTTTATCCCTTAATAAAGCTAACTATAACTGCGCCCATGCGTGTGATTTCAGCCATGCTCACATCCTAGGCGTTCGAGGCGCATCGCCAAAGCTCTACATAGGCATAGCTTGACCGGGCCATTCCGCTACGGTTAATCAGATTATACACCAATAAACTGAAGCGATACTCGGGTAATGCAGCTTAATCTGGGGTCCCGATAACAAGTCAAGCCGAGGTGAATGTCGGCTAGTTCATTGTCAAAGACTGTGGACCACCTAACAGTTACCCCAGATTGTTCAACAGACAGAGTAATAATACGGATACGTTATATATATTAAGCCATTGGAACTGACCGCTTTTTTATTCGAAATTCCCGCATTCCAGGCCTAAGACAAGAAAGAGCAACTAATAGCCGGAAGGGTCGGCACTATGGCACTACTCCCTCTGCATGAAATTTATATTGCACTTGGAATAGAGTGGATCCTCCAAAAGGTGAAAGAAAAAAATAAAAATCCAGTTCGTATTCGCGGGTGATTACTATATATTAATCCGCATTGCCACTCAGGCTTGCGCGATTAGCAAATTTCACGATAAATTAGAACATGTTAGGGTTGCCTCCCGGGTTGATATTTAATTTGGTTAGTGAGGCCGAACAATCCCAACGTTAATTAGCAGGATGTTAGAACGTTTCAAGAACATCGTCTGATTCTTAAATCCAGTGTGATCGACGGTGTCAGTGATATGAATGATATGAATGCGACAAATCCATGATTTCCCAGCATCCCGGATATTCTCCGTATTTTGCCTCTTTTACCTAAGGCTAAGACATAATTAAAATATAGAATGAGGGGGTGAGATCCAATAGAAATTAGCCAAAAGACACGGCTGAAAGACCATATCCTTTCAGGATAAGACCCGTGGACAAGGCTAAATAAGAACAACCAGCTAATAGGGCGACTAGGGGCATTAAACGGGCAAGATACCCGTTGTTAAGCGGGTCTGAAAGTTACAAGGTCACATCGCTGTGATCTCCAATCCTGATAGCCATTTTATTTTGAGACATTGCACATGTTAACCAATAATTACCGAGTGTTATCGTTGTTTGCTTGTTGTCCCCTCTCCACTTGCATCCTGATCCTCCCTCCCCACTTCAGTTCACTACCAAATCATACTAAAGAGTCTACAATTTTCACTCTAGATGCTTGTCCTCTTACTCCGTATGTTGTACTTATGTCGGAAATGCCCGAGCAAGACAAAGATGCAACGAAATTGGTTGGAATAAGATAAGGAAACAAAAAAAAAAAAAAGGGGAAACCCTCATGATAACCTCGGAATTCTAAGGACGCGTCAAAGAAATCAAACGCAAAAAGACGTATCTAGTATACTCCAATTCATATCGGTTGAAGCCCCCTCCTCTCACAGACCTCTCCCCCTCTCCTACGGTTCTCGTCGGGGAAATTGGATCAGGGGGGTAGCCTATGCGACATTGTCAACCCCTCTTAAAAACCAAGAAAAAGCATGCACCGACAATCGCTACCCTTCTAGAAGCTAACGGGATGTTTTCAGATTGGTGGACACATTCGATTACCCCAGGTCCGCTCATGGTCCGCTATAATCCGCCATGAACGGGACGTACCTGCGCGGAATTTCGATATCGTCAGTAATCGGTCTCTTGTCGCAATTGGCTAAAATTCCACGCTCAGCCTTCTAATCTGCTTGACCCGCTATTATAAGGCTTGGATCTCCCTGTTAAACAAATGATCTTCAGGTTTTTGATTTTGGCCTTCTGTTAAGGGTCCAATTGTTGATTTCTCTCTCTTTTCTCTTTCTATTCTTCAACTTCTCATTTCCCCGATCAAACATAGATCTAAAACAGTACACACTACCTACAATACTCACAGTAACCATTCAACATTCAATATGACGAGAACCGGTCCTCCAAATAATCATATCTCATGGGAATCCAAGAGGATTATTCCCGAGGATGGGAGCAGAATCGACTCGGTCGCCTGCCAAGATGTCAGACCTAAAGGGCGCATCCGACGATCAATGACTGCTTGTAATACTTGTCGCAAGCTGAAGACTCGCTGTGATGTTGACCCACGTGGTCATGCTTGTCGTCGTTGTTTATCACTTAGGTTGGTTTCCTTTTTTATTCTGTTTTGGGAATCGTACCTTTCTATAAATGCTAACTTATGTGTCATAAAAACAGGCTTGAATGTGAACTCCCTGAGACAACAGAACGCTTTCAGGACAATGCATCCACATGGTCCGACGCCACCGCTATACCATCGATCGAGGAAAGGCTTGTCTCCCTCGAAAGGGGTATGGGGGAGATGATACATCTGATGCGGCAGATAGTGAACCACTCCCCCAGCATGCCCTGCAGCCCAACCTTACAAACTAGAAACAACAGCCTAGATGGAGCATCTTCAAGTGATAGCATGCCCTCGCCTTTTTATCCGCTCAAGCCAGCGCAAATAATTCGGGATTTGCAAGCCGAATGTTTCGGCGAGAGAGATCATTTCTCCGATGCTGACATCCTCGGCGACATCGTCACCCAGGGCATCGTAGATTCCAAGCTCTCTGTGAAATTGATTGAACTGTGTGTTTGATTGTGCGATTGTCATTGGATCTCCCTGCTAATGATCTCGCCAGTTTCGTCGAATATTTCGGCCATTGGGTCTCAATAAATCATCCATCCTGCATTCAACGGTCAAATACACTTCTTTTCAACACTGCATGTCTCTTGGCTTCGCGATATCTACCTGGCCTATCCCAACACACCGTTCGCGATATATCACTCTGTGTACAACATGCAGTGGCAAAGGTGTTGTGGAAGCCCCCGCCCATGACAAGCGATATGCTACAGGCCTTGACATTGCTTTGCCTATACTCTACTTCCGTTCACAAGGAAGGACTTATGGATGACTGGTTGCTGAGCGGGATCTCAATCAACCATGCCCTCATCTCATTTAACTTCCTCAATACATTGCCAGGAGATAATTTAAACCCAGACGAGGTACTTGCTCAGTTGCGCCTGTGGAATACGCTCTGCTCAACCCAGCTACAGTATGTTCTGTTTAATAAACCCGTCGGATATACGATCTAACACCAACCTAATAGCTCTGCTCTCGCAAATGGCCGCACAGTCAATATCCAACAACAATACATCGACCAATGCCCCCGCATCTTAGAACACGCAGCCGCCACACCAGAAGACGGAAGAATTGTCGCGGAAATTCAACTATATCGCATCGCTCTCCGACTCCAACACAGCCAGCCCCGTCTCCAATTCGCAGAAACCGAATACGAAGAACTGGAGCGCTGGAGAATGGAATGGGCACATCTATTAAGTACATCATCCCTCCACTCTACCCTCACCCACCCCCCAAATCCTAATCCCAATCTAACAACCATACCACCAACAGCCACCAGCGAAGACTCCACTCTCAACCTGAATCTCTGGTTCTGTCAACTCCTCCTCCACCGAACAGCCGCCCGCCTCCAACCAGACAACGAGCGCCTAATCCCAGAAATATGCGGCACGGCCCGCCTAATAATAACCCACTTCCTCCAAACGCGCTTCACCACCGCTCCCGCCCTAATCGACCACGTCTATTTCATCGTCGGCTACGCCGCGCTCACACTATGCGACTACACACTCTCCGACCCCCTAATCAGCCAAGTGCGCGGCTTCCTACTGCATCTCGCGCCGGGCGGCGACAACCTCTCCTATCGGATCGCGTGTATTGTGGGCGAAGTGCAGCGACGGTATTCGGAGACAACTACCGTTGTGGCTGCTGCGGGGTCGCATTCGTCGTCGTCGCCGGTCGCCGACGTCAAGGGCGTGCAGATGTTCAGCCCGTCGCACCATCATCGTTCTGGTATGGATATCTCGCAGCTTATGTCTAGCGCCGAGGGCTTGGATTCCCTTGTTGAGGGGTATAATTGTCTCGAGCAGATGATGCCTGGGTATGCGGCTTCGCAGCCTGCTTTTGAGGCGCCGGATTTGTTCCATTCTCCGGCCACTGGTACTACTGGTGGAGCTATGCCTATTGGTCTAGTACCGAGGGCTTTGCATGATTGGTGATGAGATTATGTGGTTGGGATTATGAGGTTAGGCTTTTTCTTCTTCTTCTTCTTCTTCTTCTTCTTCTTCTTTTGTTTATAGATTATTGGGGTTGGTGTATGTTGAGTTGATAATGAGGTTGGATCTGTTGGGACTCGGGTGTTATGTTGTATTCTTTTCTGGAGGATCGTAATAGCAAAAGCACGAATGGAAATAGTTATGACTTATTCAACTGCGATTGACTTCTTTGCTTCATGGTTTTATCAAAGTAGTAAATCTTTGCATGACAAAAAAAGATATGGTATAATTCATATACAATATATATACGAAACCGAAGTCTACGAGCACAAAGTCGAACCCTCAAGCAAAGAGGTGGGAAATGGGAACAGACACCTCCCCACTCTCACCAGCAGTAACACTAGTGCAGGACACAACCTCGATCAACTTCGCACCAGACGCGAATCCAGTATCGGGAATCGAAACCGAGTACTCTTTACCTCCTGCACCGAGATTCGATAGGACGGTAATTGTCTGCCCACCATCATAGCCTTTCCGCATGGCGATGGTGCTGTCGTCTTTGTAGATAGGATAGTGACAGAAATCTGTCTGTATTGAAATGTATGGGCAAAATGACTGATAACTATTGAGAACTCTAACTTCTAAAATGACAAAACCCGCTCTTTCAATCTGTGCGGTAATGATGACTAAACGTAATATATGGTATATCCAGGACTCGAAGTCACATGATCTCCATGGTATAATACCATGTAAATCCACGTATGCAACCTTGCACTTTGACAGATAGTTCTGCGAGGACCGAATTAGTAGTTCAGATATACTAAGAAAAATCCCTAAGACTCTCCGTAAAGACCCGCTAACTTCTAATTATCGACCCTTACGCTAGAAAATAGAGCCGAAGATATATAATATACGATCCTGTACTCGCTATAAACTAGGCATTTTTACTCTAAAGCATTTATCAACCGAAGGTAGCGGTAGTACACTCTATGTGCATAAGTCCTGCGACAGTCGGTTTTTACCCGAACCCCATCAAATATATATATCAACATTCGACTATATATGCGGGTGAGATCTGCACTATCTATCTAGATCTAGTCCTATAGGTTACGGTAGGTATAGGGTCTAGGCATAGGTGCCTTGGTCTACAAAAATTGATCGATATTATGTTAAAGTATCCTAACTGGACAAGAACGTGAGCCGATGAGAAATAGGTAGTACTTCTATAAAGGCACACTTAGCATAAGCCATCGTAGTCATTTCCTAACACACGAAATTTCATAATTATCAAGTCATTGGGGCAATCTATATTATTAGGGAGCACCAATTGGCAGGACAGCGGTGTGCGAAGGGGCATAACGGCCAAAGGTTAAATGCCTGAATTTGCCTGGATTTGCCTGAATATTGTCTCATTTTATTATGACATAGACCTTAATAAGCAAAGTACCTAGGTAATGGATTTGAAAAATGAAGCTATTCCTACCATACAAATTTTTGTATACGTCCATTTCTAGGCGTTGAAGCTGTTGCGACTGACAAAATATCTCTGCTGAAAAAGTGAAGTTATTCCCACCATACAAATCCTAGAACACCATTTTTTCTCGGCGTTGAAGCCTTTAACTACGTAATTGCCCCCCTCTTTTCTTGTTCTTATCCTCCCCTCTACTACCCCCGTACGCCTACTGTGGCCGCCGCTCGAAGCTTCTCTTAAGGTAATCTATACGTCCTTACATTTCTATTGCCGATGCTGACCCTATTACTGTCGTAGCCGCAATTGTACGGTCGGGTGCGGTATTTAACGCCGGGGATTTGAAGAAAGCGACGATTTGTGAGGTGGGAATAGCTTCAATTCGAGGGCTTATGCGGTTAGGGGCGGTGTTTAACGCCGGGGAATTGAAGAAGGCGACGATTTGTGAGGTAGGAATAGCTTCAATGTTGAGGAATTTATTATGGTATGTGGGAATAGATTCAATTTACAGTACACGGTATAGAGCGGTGGCAAAAGCGGTCTATAATTCAGGCAAATTCAGTCAAATTCAGGCATGTGACCTTTGGCCGTTATGCCCCTTCGCAGCGGTGCATATTTATTGAAGTCACTGGTGACGGATTGCCATTGGTGTTTAGCGAAATGTACCTGGATATTGTCGAAAAACATAACCATAATCATCTCCCAACCACCCCATTGATCTGATTTATATACTGTATCGCTTCACTCCTAGCTGTGTCCAGCTCCGTAAAGGATGGCACTGAATCACTGAATACTATGTTCTGGGGTCTTTCCAAGTCATATGCAGGCCATCTAATCGCAGTTTCCGCTTTAGAGGGCCCGTTGGGATCCAAGGTCGTGATGAAATTGATCCACATTACACCGATCAAATCAGCCATCATGAAATAAGCCAGACTTTGATCCAGAAAGGGGTTCCTGAGGAACCCAACCCCTTCTATGTTCTGAAACACGGGGCCTATCTCGGCTCCGTGAGTCACCCCTGCTGCAGGTCCCAAATCTGTATCACCACCGGAGGGTACAGCATCAAACCGGAATGAGAAACAGCTGGCATATCGCGCAAATGTTTCGCAAGTGAGCCGGTGCGATGATATCAACTCCAGGTCTCCAATCAAGGCCGCGGCCTGGAAAAATATATCATCATGCAAGCCTGCGACAAAGTCAGAGCTTTCGGTCCCATTGTTTGACAACGGATACAAAGAAAGTAGTTTCTGAACTATCTCGTCGGGCAATTGCCATGCACCTTCCTAATTCTCAGCACGAAGCGATTGAAGCTTGAAAGTGATGACTCACCAGCCAAGTATCTCTCAAGCCGACCCGGGCCCTCCAACCCACCAGGAGCGAAGGTGCTCCCTTCATTTGTTGTCGTGCCGATGATAATTGGTACGCGTATAAGACTTGCGGTCTGAAGTTGTCGGCTAGGAAATGCTCTAATTATATCTCCATCCAGTGTAGGCATGGAGAGTGCGTCTAGCGTCAGAGGATCATCACGCGAAATTATGTCAATCAAATGATCAAGCTCATTGAAAGGTATATTGCGTAGGCATTGCAGCGTGTCCTTAACTCCAAAGCAATTTGCCCGTCGTATCAGTTGGATGTAAGCCTGCTGGGGGCTCAAATTGCGCAGTGAGGTCTCCACGAGCGGAGAGCCACTTTGCATGATAGCTGCTCTAAAGAGACCATCATCCCGTCCGCCGTGGGCAATGAGGTGAATGCCGACATCCGAGGCCCCAGAACTTCCACCCCAGATTGTGACTTGTGATGGATCCCCTTGAAATCCCTCAATGTTGAGTTGGATCCATTGCAGTGCGAAATGCTGATCTCTTAGCCCTAGGTTACTATTTCCAGTTCTGTTCACGTCATTCCCTGAAACGAAGCCCCAGACTGACGACCGATAGTTCAAAGAGACTGCAACGAATGGTTTGCCCATGGCTGTTGACTTTGAAACAATGAAAGAAAGGTTGTACCGCGGGTCACCAGATCCTCCTCCAGTAGTGCCCCCTCCATAAAGGTAAACCGCAACAGGTAGGCGCTGGACGCCTTTGACATGTGGACGTACGACATTGATGGTCAAACAATCCTCTGATTGGGTGAACTTTTCACGGTTTTTCTATTTTGTATTAGCCTTCGTCGGAGGTAACGAAAGACTTCTTCATAGGACTAGCATACCCCATAGGAAAGGCAGTGAGGCCCATAGGCCTGAGCTTTCTTCCATCCGTCCCATGAAACGTTGTTCGAGTGTGGTATGCTAAAGCGCAGGTCTCCGGTAGGGGGCAACGCATATGGCATTCCGAGAAACATGTCCTGCAAAAAATGATGGTTCCGCACTCCAATATATGTGCCGTTCTGTGTTATAGCCAAGGGATATTCGCCATTGGATCCGAGGAAAGAGTCGGCCCGGAACTGGAGGTAAAGACTCCAGGTCATCCATGCAAGTAGAAGAACGACAACAATATATTTCCGTTTCAACAAAGTGATTATGGCAGTCATGGCGTGCTGTGGATTTTGTGCTTTTAGGACGTTATGGTTTTTTGAATTGTGGAAGTGAGCAAGTGTATTTGAGGGGATATTAGCGAACCTTTATCAGAAACAACACAGTCCGGGACCCACCTCGGCATAAGCTCATATTTTCTGTCAGCACGCAGGGCTAGCTGAGAATGTAAGCAAATAAGCGAACTATATTGGGCATTTGCCGTTTACTGGCGGACATAAACCATTGAAACTGACCCATTACTTCGCCCTTCCCACCTGTAGATCGTGACTAAATGAAGATTAAGACAAATACCACTACAAATAAATCTCATATATTCTGGAACTACCTAAATGAGTGACTTTACCACTTGTCTGGGTCTTTGCTCGGACTTAAAAGCACAACAACATAGATATTCAACAAACAGGACAAGAGCCTTTACTTTGCATCCTCCTCGTCTCCAGCATCGACTTAGTATTCCCCTCGCGATTCTGCAGAAAGACATCATATATAACATAAACATGCGGATCTGAGTTCAACATCTCAAGGGGACATGTTTTCGTGGCTACTCCACATGCATGGTTTGAAAGTAACACTGATGAGACGCAAGAGTGTAGAGCAGCCATGATCTCACACATGCTCAACAATATCGCGCTTGACCTTGCTGTCCTTGGCGTCCTCGCGAGGGTCGCGCTTGACCTTGCTGTCCTTGGCATCCTCGCGAGGGTCCCGCTTGACCTTGCTGTCCTTGGCATCCTCGCGAGGGTCCCGCTTGACCTTGCTGTCCTTGGCGTCCTCGCGAGGGTCGCGCTTGACCTTGCTGTCCTTGGCGTCCTCGCGAGGGTCGCGCTTGACCTTGCTGTCCTTGGCATCCTCGCGAGGGTCCCGCTTGACCTTGCTGTCCTTGGCATCCTCGCGAGGGTCCCGCTTGACCTTGCTGTCCTTGGCGTCCTCGCGAGGGTCGCGCTTGACCTTGCTGTCCTTGGCGTCCTCGCGAGGGTCGCGCTTGACCTTGCTGTCCTTGGCATCCTCGCGAGGGTCGCGCTTGACCTTGCTGTCCTTGGCGTCCTCGCGAGGGTCGCGCTGGGTCACTGCTCCAATAGCATCCCTAGCGGTAAGAGGCAAAGTCTGCTCGGACAACGGGCTTGCAGTGACTGCAAGTGAATTTTCGAACGGCGAAAGAGGCATAGCCAAGCCGTCCCCCACCAGGAGAAGAGAAAGATATGTGACAGTTGCGAACTTCATAGTTGCACTTGAATGATTTAATTTAGGCGGAGATCAATGACAATGTGGACCAAGCTGTAGATATTTTGATTCAGGAATGGTTGATCGTGGATCGTAAAGGCGTACCTGGGTGTTTATCTAGGAAATAGAAGAAATACTTTATCCAAAAGCTTTGTAATGTCATTATCATCCAAGGAGGACTTTGATTACCTAGGGTTGCTGCATGCTGACAAGCCTGATTATAGCGCGACATAAGCAGTGCTTTAGGGTGATTCGAGCTCCACCAGGAACAAATAATATACCGAGTATGGTGAGACATACAAGGGTAATGGGAAGTCGGGAATAATTGCACGCGAGCAACTACAATCTTGCCTCATATGTATGATTACTGCTGACCAGCCCATGAGAATTTTCATCCTTTCTATTTCTTTTTTCAGGAAACCTTCATTCATCCATATCCAAATACGTACACAAATTTTGATAAAATCTTTCAATTCTTTCACTTTCATTTTTGTTTTTGGATCGCAGATACGGATCAATTGTGTCTGATCTAGTGACTAAGCTGGTGCTTTACATGAAATGCCTAGTCTCCGTCGATGTCCAGGCCTGGGTCGAATCATTGTCGCCGCTTTCTTGATTTGGATGGTTCTCTCATCACGTCAAAGGATTCGGAAATTTATCAGCTCCGAGGTCTACTCGCATGCTCTTGTTAATTCTACACTTGGGGTGAGTCCTTGGGCCGACTTCAACACGAAAAGAAGAAAGACTAATAACGAGACGCTAATCACTTCTGGAAATGATTAGTTTGAACGGATAATGGTAATTTCAACCGGCGATTCCGGAAGAATCCAAGGGATTATCAATGCGAGCATGTACACAGGGCTCCAACTCGATATTCCTTACCAAGAATCATGGTCTTTGGATGTGGCAGAGTCTTTCCGCCGAAATAAAATGCAAGGTCTGGAACCTAAGACAGGTATAGGCCAGACCCAATGCTGGCTTGGACATCTGAATGTGTTACGTGAAGTAGTGCATCAGTCTATTACCACAGCCTTGATATTTGAGGACGACGTGGACTGGGACGTGGCCATCAAGAAAGAGATAGGTCTCGTGGGCCCACTATTGCATCAAATATGGCCATGCGATGGCGATGACAATACACCTTATGGAACCTGCTGGGATATCCTATGGCTTGGTCATTGTGGGGACCTAGTTCCGCGGGATGCACTTTCGATTTCAGACGATACGTCTCTTCCATCATCTATCTATGAAGAGAACGACGGCGAGCCTATACCATTCCCAGCCCAATTACGAATGGTTCACGTCAGCCAAGGTCCCGTTTGCACCTATGCATATGCGGTGACAAAACAAAGCGCTTACAAGCTGATACATATGGTGGGTGATGGAATTGATGAGACGACAAGCACGCAGCTTCGGCTGTGGTGTCAGGATGGCAGTCTTCGGTGTATAACTGTAAATCCAGAGCTATTTCATCACCACAGGTCCAGAGGACAACTGGCAAGTCAGATTGCCCGGGTAGAACGTTGGGAGATGGCTGATGTTCCGATGGAAATTGATTTTACGCGGAATATTAGACATAGTGCTCGCTGCAGCAGCAGAGCTGGGAGAGATATTTCGTGCAGGGAAATAATCTAGTGGATTAATGTTGTGAAGATCCAGAGCAGTCAGTGCATCCTAATATTCAGAATTTCGACCTCAAGTCTGAAGACTATGCGTATCAAATGACAAGATTGATTGATGTAGAAGCCCCAAACACCTGTCTTCCATATACTCTCTCCGTTATCTGATATGAAGACATAACCGAGGCTTGGTATAACCTTTACCACGAAATGTTACCTAGTGAGACGGGTATAATATTAATTCTAGCCCAAAGTCTATATAGCAGCGAGTAATGAAATGTTGAAAACCGCCAATAAATGCTACATCTAGAGATATCCACTGATACGGGGTACAGTAAAGATACCCGAGAGACTAGTGCGACAAGATCTTGAGACACAATTAATTACCCCGCGGCTTATACCACTGTTGCTCAAATATCGTGATTATGGTCAATGGTTTGATTACCTGGTGCCGCTTAAACAGCTTATCGTTGGATCTTTCGAGGAGGTCAGTAAGCTCAATAGTACTAGGTAATCATTGGAGAATGATGATATTGTTCCTCCATCATCGAAACGTAAGCTGGCATTTGATTATTCGTCAGCTTGCATGAAATACATCTTGTCTGACCGGGGTGAACTAGGTCGTGAATGTTGTCATTCAATACTCAAACATCATTAGCGGAAACCCACGAAGACCTTGCGCTAATTTGCATACATGTAACGATACGAGTATCTGTAGTAATCTGCCATTATTACTTCTAACAGACCCGAAGGATCCGAGGCATATATCAAAAAATGGACTGAGTGACATAAAAGCCTTTGAAATACCCCCAAAGCGAAATTAAGCTCGATCTCAGAAATCTTCACTATACAACTTTGCCTCCAAGCTACTTCTCGCTTATCATCATCGAATATGGTAGTGACTGTTGAAACAATGCCTGACATTTCGTCTGCGGTGTCGTTAGGGAGCGCATCTGACATCCTTCTTCAACTTCCCATCGGACACGAAGAATGCCATTCCCTTATTAAGGCACGGGCAGGAGCACCTCTACATGTGCCTGCTTTGCACCTCAGTACAATTCATCACAGATGCGGTCCTAGTCTAGATACGAAGGCGGAATTCCGCGAAAGTCTTTTGAAGGGTTTGCGCCAGCATTGGCAAGACCCGTCAACCGAATCTCGCTTCTTGCAGCTGTCCCGGGAGCTTGACAGGAATGGCGCAATACTTTACGGGGGACTGATCGACACGGAGAAGTTCAAGAGTCTGATCGAAAATTACACCAAGGCTCAGGGAGTTACCGGAAACCAAACCTTCCTGCACTCGTATGTGAACTTTGCCGACCATGCGGACTTCCTGACCGATTCCCGGTATAATGATGCATTCGCACATCCATTACTCGTTGCCTTGATTTCCTACCAAATGGGAGGGGCTCTCAGGCTGAATGATGTTCGAGGCAAGGACACAGACCCTATCTCGGTAAATGCACAAGACAACATGTTGCACATCGACAATACACCTTTCCGCGATGAATACAAAATCTTACTTTGCTGGAAGCGAGATGAGCCTGTCGGACCCTCAGGCCAGAATTTTACATTTTTGCCTGGGACGCACAAAGGAAATCGCGATATTCTGCTCGACCAGGATGGAGAACCCTGGTCGACAGAGCGTGACAGCTTATTTGTGTCCAATGCGGCTATTGATGGCATCCTCTCATTTCAAAAAGAGCAAGTTGGCAGGCCGTCTATGGTTGTTGAAACGGTTGTACCAGATGTCCCAGTGAGTGTAGCCTTCGCGGCAGGCGCGCTGGTTCATCATCGTTACCGTACCGAAACTGGTGACCCAAGAAGCTGTGTTATCTGTGCATTTCATGTTGCTAGCGATAACCCAGGGTCTTTGATCACCACACGCGGTCAAGGCTACAAGCCCGAGTCTCTAGTGGACTTGATGATAGGCCCGCAGAGTCAGCATACGGAGCTCGACTTCCTTTCTATGCTGTTCCGTGATGCCTGCAAAATTGAAACCAAGATCAATGACTTGGAGAGCCATAATCATGTCAGCCAAGTGATTGATATTCAGTCTCTGGCTCTGAAAGATGACGCACTGGCTCGATGGAGAGAATCTGTGGTGTTTGCCCCAAGTGCGTCCACTATCAAATTCTCGAGAAACATTTATCTCTCATCTGCATATCCTCTCAATCAGGACGATTTCATCAATAATCTTGCAACTGTCATGGCGTACGACAAACACGGCCTGTTACAACTAATCTTGTATCAGGATGGACGAGAGGAAATCCGTAAAGTATCTCGCAAGACAATCGGAGAAATGACACAAAATACATTAGCGAAGCGACTTTACGCCTGGGCGCACGTCTTTGACCGACAAAACTTTGTGGTCGCCGATCTTCCCCTGCCAAGTGAGCTAAGGGATATGGCAGATGTCGTCGGCGATTTAGCAAAGTATAGGCTCCAAGAGTTTGAGGCCAACAAAACATGTACCGGCGAGAGAGCTAAGGTTGTCATGCTTAAATCGCTTTGTCGCCTGATTTTTGATTTGGGAGAGGCGATCACTCGTTGTGAAAAGATGGAAACTTTTGTGTCCACCAGTTTGTTCCTGTTCTGGACGACAGAGCACATCGTCACCTATTTTCAAGGAGAGCGAAAAAGGTGGGCGAGGTATGTTGCTGGAATCTTTCTTCGCAACTATGTCTCCGCTGTTATGTTGCTGGAGCAGATGTAGGCATCACATCTTAGGTCCCCGTTTGCCAGGTCGCAAGGCCCATTGTCTTCGGTGACTAAATCAGTAGCCAAACATTGACTTCATGATCTCTGTTTTATTTTCCGTTCTATGCACTCGCCTCAGCCAATACGATGTACTTGAGTTATAGCAAGATCTAGTTGGCTGCAACCCGTAGTAGTAAATCCCTTCATAGGCCGTTCGGAAATTATTTTACTCGTAAAATTGTTGACTTGTCGTAGAAATGAAAATTATTTGATCCTGTCCGGATCCCAGGGCTAAAGGGGCCCAAATATGTCATTAGGCCCACGGCGAAAAGTGCATACAAATATGGGATTCGTGAAGAAGTTTGTTCGTCAGTCATTACCTCATTAAAGATGCTGACTGGTTCCAAGCGACTGAACTATGGAATTGATATCCCAGCCCGCTTCAAAGTCTTGGGCTCCAAGATGGTCATCGGTGCTCTCAACATCTTCCTTAGCCACCCTTAGTCCCTCTTGATAAAGTTTTCTCTCTCGGTGTTGCACCAAAGACTGGAATTGTTGATACAAAGAAGATAACTTTGCTCTCATCATCTGATCATTTTCAAGCAGACCCATGCTCACGCTAAAGTCGTAAACCGTACGTATCTCCTGTAATAAAAGAATGACACGAGGAGCATGGCTTTCCTTAGAATCCTTCTTTTTGGGGCTTGCATTATTTGCTCTGGAGAGATCACATTCGCATCGAGCATCGCTGGCTGGAGTCTATCTTGATGGTCAGAGTCTTTTAGGTCTCTCATTGCCACATTTTATTTACCTCGGGTAGTTTCACTCGGTCATTGCTTTGCTCCGCTCCTGCAGACTCCCCGGGTAGCCTGTGTGAAAATTTTCCTTGAGGATTGCACATTGGAGAGCTATTTTCCGTTGGCATGGGAGTGAAGAGTGCTTCTGGCCCACGCCTTGCTGGTAGAGTCAAGTTTTGTGGATCCATGTGCGGGATAAAATAATCCATATTGACAGGCTCTGAGCTGGATATGGTGGCAAAATCAACGTCATTCTGGCTTGAAGTTGTGAAGATCCCCGGATTTCTCCCAAAATGGGATGGCCCAGTCACTCCAGGGGGAGATATCCCACCTACTGGGGTTAATGGTACCGGCAGTGTGTCTGCCACCCCTGCTTGATTGGCTGTGGATGAGGATAACCAGACGGGGAATGAAAGTCGATCGACGTGGTAGATGTGTGGCTGAGCCGCTTCCCCCTGAAGATGTAGATCCAGAAGAGGTGCTTCTAGTTGAGAGTCATTTTCTGTTATGCTGACCTTTTGCACTCGTTTCCCTTCTTTTTTACCTTCATTGCAAAAATCCGTCTCTTCTCCGTGATCAGTTCGTTTTCTCGCTCCTGTATCAGACCCTCGACGTTAGAGACGCAAGGAAGGAGTTTGCATTAACTTACTGAACCTTCGCTGAGATTCTCGGTTTTGCTGTCGGCGCTTTTTCTTAGGGCTTAAATCTTCCATGCTTTTCAACATGACACGTGGTCAATTAGAGTCGGAGGATCTAACAATCATATGTACAACATAGGATGAACGTGGGTCTAGTCCTAGGTAGACCCCCGAGATTCTGGACCACCCTCAGTAGTAATAGGGATCCTCAGCGATAATATGTGACAATCTAAGGAAAGGTTTCTACATAGTACGAACACTCGCAACGTTAGCACGCGCATTATGGCGCGTTCCTCTAGATTTGCCAGTACTGAAAGACGATGTAACACCCCACTACCGTGGCTGCCGCAATGTAGGAAACCCCGCAAGTACATACAGGGAGGTGTTGTGCATTGGGTACTTCGGAGTGGATGGCAAAGAATATTGTACCCCTATCTATACCCGGCCACGATAGCTCGGGTGAGAACTCACGCTAATGCACGTACGCCGTACGCCAGCAGTGAACTTTGGAAGCTGGTATCCTGTCAAATTCATATAATCAGTTGAATACAGGAAGGGTGTGAGCTACACACTGGTAATTGATTAATACTATCAATTACAGGTATTTGCATTACCGGATGACTACTCCTAAATATGATAATATACGCAATCGGTCCACGGGTAAACGAGCGGGTCATGTAAGCGAGTGGGTTAGCTCCAAACACTATAGTAAATGCGTTAAGGCACAATATGACGACTGAATTAGAACATATGTCCTCATTTCGCACGGGATGAACGTCTTCGGGCCCTTCATTTTCTCTCTTGATTCTGGACAAATCTTGTTGCCAAGAAGACAGATGACCATGTTTGCTGACCGTGCAGCAAACCCCTGCCGCAGTTTTCGCGCAAGCGGGTTTACCGTGAAAGCATTACCTTCAGGGGTCTTTGCTGATGACAGGTCAAGACACCGTGGTGAATTTGATATTCCATCAACGTTGCTGGTTTTTCTGAGCACCTTCATATTTGTGCACATTTTCCCCTCGTATCCGATTAACGCCATAACTTTGTCGGGGCTTTTCAACTTTCCTGGAACCTTGCATCCGACAGCTAAGCCTGGAATCTTCGAACATGGCTTCCCCGTGGTCATCAAACGACCCACCGGGCTCAATCATCCTGTCCTTGATCTTGCTCATTTTTTTACTACGACGCGCCCGTTATCACCGAAAGTCAGAGAGGAAACTGATCATCTCACAACACAGAATGAAATTAGTTGGTCGCTACTAAAGAAAACCCACCTTTATTACACTTCGTTGACGTATCATAGGCATTACCGGTGGCCCTTTGTACCACCCACTTGGCCTTTCTTTGGTGCCTCATGCTGAAGAGCTACTACGCTACAAATGTCGCTATTCTGGTTGACTCTGCTTTATTACTAGTGACCGCGGCCGCAGCCCTCTGGCTCTGCGTTCTCGAACAGAGCAGGGGCATCAATTCTCCAAGTGTCATTCTGGCGTACCTCGCATGTTCATTGACCAGAGACCTTTTAGAGCTACGATTTGTAGGCTGCTCAAGCACCGGGACCTGCTTTTTCATCAGATCCAGGATTGTCGTGGAGGGAATCTGGCTGACTTCGCATCTATGGGTCAAATATTTCCTCTCGCATCATTCCCAAGAATCCATTTCCACACCGGAAGAAGCAGCGGGTATTTTTGGCCAAGTGTTCTTCCGGTGGATGCATCCAGTTCTAAGGGAGGGATATAGCGCGAGGTTGAATCTCACGAGTTTACCGGAGATCGACCAACGACTTTTATCGAAAGGTTTACGAAAGCGAGTTTTGACTTATTGGGCCAGAGAATGTGAGTTACTAGTGTGATCACTGCACGCAGCGCAATGCTAATTAATATATGGTTTAGCCAATCTTCACACAAAATGGACGCTTCCATGCGCATTAGGGAGGTGTCTCAAGGGTCCATTTTTGTTACCGTTACTTTCACGCGGATTTCTCATCTTATTCACATACCTGCAGCCCATCTTTATTGGAACCGCGATACGATTTGTCAATGGCGCATCTCAGTCCATTCTCGGTGGAGATAGTGGCCTTAGATTGATGCTTTTTGCTACAACGGTGTATATGGGAATAGCGGTACGATATGCAAGGGTCGTGCTCATTTTTCTATCTATCTGACGATATACTATCCAGGTGTCGGCGGCAATCTACCAACATCAAATCAATAGGCTGCGCGTTATGGTTCGGGGAGCATTGATTGGTCTCATTCACCACCAGTCTCTTAATTTGCCAAATGAGAAATCTCAAGACTCATCCGCATTGGCATTGATTAGCTCAGATATTGATAGCATCGACTCTGTGGGTGAGATTTTCCACGAGACCTGGGCCCGCCTGGTAGAGGTAGCTACTGGGACAGTGCTCCTGGCCGCTCAGATCCGATGGTTCGCATTTTTACCAGTGATAATAATCTTCGGTAACTATTATATCTAGGATCATTGTTCTAAGTTTTGAAGGGTGTTAACCTCTACCCTTAGTGTGTTCGCGGATGAGTGCGTATGTTGCAAAGCACTTGGAGAATCGGCAGAAAGGCTGGAACGCGGCAACGCAGAACCGTCTTGCCGCCACAACAGCAGCTATAGAAGGAATCAAGAGCTTAAAGATGATGGGGATGGAAGATGCAATCCAGTCTCAGGTCTTGCATCTGCGAAACAATGAGATCCAAACGTCAAAGCGCCTACGATGGATTCTGGTAGCCTACAACGCAAGTGGTATGTACCGGGCCAGATTGACAAACATCATTCCATTGATTCTAACTTTATATTCAAGCAAATGCACTTGGGATCCTCGCTCCAGTCTTGACTCTCATTCTCTTCCTCTTGTCCTCTCAAAGCGATGGAATGCATGCCGATCAAACCTTTACAGTCCTTGCTCTTCTAGCCATGGTGACACATCCAGCCAACATGGTCATGACTCTCATTCCACAGGCCATTTCTGTTATGGCAAACTTTGATCGTATCCAGGCTTTTATTAGCCAAACGTCCATCCAAGACGCGCGAGAAGTCTCCCAGGGAGGCAGTCCTCAACAATTCATTTCAATGCAAGCCCTAACGGTAGCACCTCCTCCATTATTCCATCCCATACTCCGTGATGTCGATTTGGCGATCACCAGAGGGGAAATTGTGACTTGCGCTGGTGCCGTTGGAAGTGGGAAGACAACTTTAGCAATGGCTGTTCTCGGAGAAGCTACTGCTACCGCTGGTTTGATCTCCCTGTCCTCTAAGGAGATTGCATATTGCGCTCAAGAGCCGTGGCTGCCTAGCGTCACTATTCGTGAAGCTATATCAGGACATCCCATTGGCCTAGATATCGAATGGTATAATACTGTGATCGAAGCCTGCGGCTTGGTGCCGGATTTCCATTCATTTGTGGCTGGTGACATGGCACTGATAGAGAACAATGGAATGAATCTCTCTGGGGGACAAAAACAGCGTATAGTACGAAACATGTTGACTCGCTTGTGGTGACTGCTTAGTGTTATTTTGCTAACAAACTCATCAAAGGCTTTGGCAAGAGCAGTCTACTCGAAATATAGAATGCTTGTCCTAGATGATCCGTTCAGTGCTCTTGATGAAGCTGTTACAGGTCACATCGTGCAAAGGCTGTTGGGCCCACGAGGTCTGTTTCGAAAAATGGCGACTACAGTGCTTTTGATCAGTAACTCTAGTAGGTTCACAATTCTAACTACAGCGGTTAATTCTCTCTGACATCAATTATTGAGTAGGAGAAATCTTTTCAATTTCAGATCGAGTCCTACTCCTTCATAATTCAAAGCTCCATCACCAAATGCACCTTCAAGATCCGAAAGCAGCTTTCGGAGTTCTTCCATTGCCTTCAAAGATCTCCCACACCCTCGATCCATCAAATGACTCTGGAGCGCTTGGAAAGAGCCGGAAACTACATCTAAGCGATGCTGAAGATGATACCTCCCGGAGGACTGGAGATATTGCAATATATGGTATGGTATATGTCCACAGCCTGTTTCCAATAGCTTACTGACCTCGGAAAGGGTATTACATTAACGCAATCGGCCGATCTAACACACTTCTTTTGATTGTCTGTACGGCTGGTTTCTCATTTTGTTCTACATTTGCTCAGTATGTTCTCAAATGGGCGACAGAATCGCCTAGAGACAGATTGAAAATTTATATGTCTCTCTATGCCACAATATCGTTCATCGGATGGGTGGCAACTAGTGGGACTGTATGGTAAGACGAATTTGGCTCTATCCAAAACGGTCAATATTGCTAACCGTCTCCAGGGCCGCTCAAATGAAAGTTGCTATCAGGTCAGGCGCATTTTTACACGCACAACTTCTTGATCGAATCTTTAAGTTTGTTCCCAACCTCGGCATGTCAACCGTTCAGAGGACTGATCGCTCTGAACTAGGGCGCCTTTGTCTTACATCACTAAAACTGATATCGGTACCATTGTGAACAGGTGTGCACAGCCTTCCTAGGTCGAAAATATGCATATATTCTTCTAATACTAATATTTGATATTCAGGTTTGGACAGGACATAAATCTCGTGGATAAGCAACTTCCTCCAACGCTGGCAAATCTCAATACCCGTCTGCATGTCACAATCTTGACTTTTGATATTTCTACTAACAATCATTAACAGAAATCTTTAAGATTTTAATGCAGTTGGTGCTACTCTTAAAGATCCGACCAATGATGAGTCTCACTGTGCCTGTCTGCGCCATATGCGTTTATTTCATCCAACGGGTTTATCTTCGGACATCTCGACAGCTACGCTTCCTTGAACTAGAATCAAAATCATCATTGTTCACGAACTTTATAGACACGGTATGTACATCTGCCACAGTATCCGAATGTTGCATTTCTGATCATAAACATAGGCAAATGGCATTGTTACAATTCGAGCGTTTGGGTGGAAAGAAAAATTCCAGAAAGAGAATGTGCAAGCCTTGGACCTGTCACAAAAGCCTTTCTATCTCCTCCTCTGCCTACAGTGCTGGCTAAAGATGATACTGGATTGTATTATAACAGGGTTTGCAGTTGTTCTGATTGCGTTCACCATCTCTTATCGAAACACCACAGCCGGTGCGGATCTTGGTTTGGCTCTGAACTTGATAATCGTCGCAAACACCACGCTACTAAAGCTTGTACAAGCCTGGACATCCTTTGAGACATCCTTAGGGGCGATTGCTCGATTAAAGAGCATACAAGACTCTCTGCCAACTGAAGACAACACTGAGCATACTTTGGATCCTGGCCTGCGATGGCCCTCTATTGGAAACCTGCACGTCAACGACGTGTCAGTCGGTTATTCAAAGTCATCGCTCCTTGCCCTACGCAATGTGTCCTTCGTCGTCAAGCCTGGACAAAAAACCGTTGTTGTGGGTCGAACAGGGAGGTATGGCGATGCAGGTCTGGTTGATTTATATTTGTGAGTGCTTGACTAATTAAGGTCTCTTGATAGTGGTAAAAGTACATTGATGCTTTCCTTGCTACAACTTCTCGGACCCGGTGAGGGCTCTACGTTCATCGACGACATCAACCTCACGCATGTGTCACCGAGAACGGTGCGAAAACGTGGTTTCATTGCAGTGCCACAAGATGGCTTGACAATTTCAACGGCCAGTCTACGCTTTAATCTAGATCCTTATCACACGAGCTCAGAGCAAGAAATATCCCTGAGTCTCCAAAGGACTGGTCTTTGGGATAAGATCCATTCAATAGCCGGTTCGGCCGAGAAGGCAGGGGCGAGTCTCAAAATTCGAAGCCTGCTCGATCTTCCTATGTTGTCATTTCTGCCATTCTCAGCTGGACAATTACAGTTACTTGCCTTAAGCCGAACACTGCTACGAGTCTGGTCGTCCGCACCACACAAGCCAATTGTCATCTTGGATGAAGTCAGCTCTTCGTTAGACTCAGAAACAGAGTCTATTCTGATAGATATCCTTCGGGATGATCTCCGAGATTACACTGTTGTGATTATTGCACATCGTGTTGCTGGTATCATGGGCGCTATGAGACCTGGGGTTGATGCAATTGCCACCATGCAAGATGGCAGGCTGCAGACTGTGTCTATTATCGACAGCTCTGATTGATAGAGAACTCTACTTGCTCATCTTGGCGAGGAGTGAGATAGGGATTGGTGGATTGAGTTAGGCAATCGCTCCGTTGCTGAATATGTGGTGCCTGGCAGGCCGTTCCTGGCGCCCTAAGCGGTCATTTCGGGCGCAAACTGCACAGATCCTAAGATAACAACAACATCGGACATTCTACCTCGCGCATACTACGTCTAACAAAAGACAAATCCCAACCGCCAAATAGAGACAAAATAGAGCATACATTATAGTAAACATTATCGCACAGCCCATGGAGTCACAGATCTACTCTCGTCCGCTTGTTCGCGAATGCCTCGACCTCCCATATGTCGTCATCGTTGGCCTCTCCGGTCTCTCCGCACCCAATCGGTGAATCTTGAAAGAATACCACGGCGATGCGAAATATCTATTATTAAGCTTTATAGTTCCGGAGTAAGGGAGTAGCTGGAGTGGCAGCAATGGCAGTGCTAACCAAGCCAGCAAGCCAAGCAAATCGTGCGAGAACCATCTTGTAGATAATTCAGCGCCGATAACCCAGGTAAAGCAGAGGAGAGCCATCCAGCAACGCGATGGCCCAATAAAAGGCGCTACAGGGGGCTTGACGCCAGAAAAATCCATGCATACAATAGCAGACTGACAGAAACCACAGAGACCAATAGCAGACTCCGGAAGGGAATATGGCACAAGCCAATGAACGCCAAAAGCCCAGATGAAGATCTTCACAGATGCATCTGCTTAAATGAAAAATAATCTGGCCTAAATGCCCGTCACCAACCACAGCAGAAGCCGAGACGGAACTAGGAAACAGAGAGAGATCTATCTGTATGGTCGAGAACTCCATAAATTGACGATAATCTTTCTAAATGGAGAATTCCACTATCATCCTTCACATCTAACTAACTGGTGATCTCGATTCCCCCATCCAGCCCTGCCGGGGAAAAGCAAAGTTGCAATAGGATAGATACATTATACATTGCATGCCTAACCTTGTAATGATCAGCCCGGATCACAAGGCTAGCCCACTGCATGTGCGAAATTAAAAGAATACCCGTCAGAGCCCCTGACAGGACCTTTGATTTAATCACCGTGCGCGGGGGCGTGTGCCCCAACTTTGCAGGGACGCGGGGATGGAGAGAGAGGAGAGGGGCCGGGTGTGGACGGATAGGTTATTGGCTCGTTTGAGATGATGTCGATCTTTTACACAAGTACTTTCGGGTTCTATTCGGGGACAAATAGACACTAATGGCCTTGGTAGATGCTGCTACGATGATTTATGGTGTGTACTCCGTTATATGATGGGAAACACGAGGCCTAGTAGAGATATGATGACGCGTATGTGTATGGAAAAGACAATGTACATTGGGCTTCATAATTCGGGCCGACATGGGAGATTGCAATCTGTGGATCTTTAAACAGGCCATTTATGAACACGACCGGGGATAGGGGGAGGGGTAGTGTGGTTTCTTCTCTATTCAGCTGAGGTGAGGTTATACAGAGTCACCGGCACGTTCACAATGGGTGCTCGGTCTTTTAATAGTAAGTAGGACGAAAACGAGACAACTGGAAGAGATGCTAGGGAGGGAGAAATTATATAACCATTGTTGCTATGAAAGAATAGAAGTGAATCTGACTGCCACTGGGGTAAACTATGGAGAAGACAGCAGTTTTACATGTCAAAAGACCAAAATCCCAATTCCCTCCTGAGAAGAATACCACAGTACTACTTACTTACCAATTCAAAGTCCAATTCTCATTGAAAGCACCCTCCTCAGTCAACTTCTGCAACCCACCAACAGACAACACATGCGATGTAGCATTATACTGCACCCCAGAAGCTGGCACAGGTTTACCATTAAACTTGACAGAACCAGGTTTCTTAGACACACCGAGAACAGTAACAGTAGCGAGAGGATTTGACTCCTCCCAGTCACCTTTTGCACTGGCACTTAAGCTGGACCCCTTGACCCCGAAAGTAACATCAAGAGTCTTATCGGGAGAATTGCTCTCTCCATCATCGAGATACAACTGCCCAGAGGCAGCGCCACCGCCACCGAGCGCGACGAGCAAAGACCAGGGCGTGCCACGCGCCTCCTTCGTAGTTAAAGCCGGCTCCTGCATCGGCAAGACGCTGCCTCCACGCACAAAAACGGGGATATGGCCCAGCGGGGCAGGGATAGTGGTGTTGACGCCGGGCTTTGCGTCCACAGCTGTCTGGGTGTACCAGTCGTACCAGACCTCGCCGTGCTTGAGGCCAGGGAAGACGCCCTTGACGGAGGTGGCTTGCGGGGCGAGCACGGGAATGACCATGATTGAGGGACCGAGGAGGAACTGGGTATCGACTGCGGCGAGGGAGGGATCTGTGGGGAATTCCCAGGCTAGGGCGCGCATAACCGTGGAGCCGGTTGTGTGGGCTTCGTGGAAGAGGGTGTAGATGTATGGGAGGATTGCGTAGCGGATCTTCATGGCGGATTTGGCGGCGGCCGTGACGGATTCCCAGACGTAGGGCTCTTGCGAGGTTGCGGAGAGGGTATTGTGGTTGCGGTAGAAGGGGAAGAAGGCTGATAGTTGCATCCAGCGGTTGCAGAGTTCTTCGTCGGCGTTACCGCTGAAGCCGCAGGTATCGACGCCGAACATGGGGATTCCAAAGAGGGAGAACGAGAGGGCTTGGGGGATGGAGAAAAACATGAATGCCCACCTAGAGGCATTGTCACCACCCCAGTGACCGGCCCATTTACCGGAGCCTGCGAATGTTGAGCGGCCAATGATGAAGGGACGCTTCTTTTCGTTGACCTTCAGCAGGCCATGGTAGGTGGCGTTAAGGATTTGGTGGCCGAAGAGGTTGTGCACATCGTATTCTTTGACGCCGTCAGAGTGAGTGGCGTTCGGGGACACGGCGTGCGAGTTCAGGTCGTGGCCATCCTGGTCATGATTGATCACATATGGCGGGTAGATGACGTTGCGTACTCCTGCAGTGGGTGTAGTTCTCAGATAAGAGGTAGACGAGGAGACAGAGCCCCCAGTTGTAGCGGCAGCTGCCTGGCTTGATGACGCTGCAGATGCAGATGCAGCTTCAGTCTTGTTATTGACCTCGAATCCTTCTGGATAGTCATAAATAACGTTGCCAGGCTCTCCAGGCAAGGCAAACGGAGGGTGCGATGGGTTCATGCTAAGGTTTCCAGATCCGCAGCTGCCAACGCAGAAGGAAGAAACCTCGTTCATATCAATCCAGATGCCATCAATGGCCATTTTCTTTTGCCAGGTAACAATTTCGTTCGCCCAGAAATCGCCTGTCTTAGGATTGTGCCAGTCGGGGAAGACAGTGTAGCCGGGCCAGACAGCGCCGATGTACTCGCTTCCATCGGGATTCTTCAGGAATACGTCATCCTTGTGCCCGCGGGCGTAGGTATCATAGCTGAATATAAATCAGCATCGTTTCTGTTAGACAGGTTCGGAGGAACTTACGCATCCGAGGCATTCTCGGGGTTTGGAATGTAGATAGCCGCATCTATAATGGGAACATAATGACGGCCACTGGTGTGCAGTTTGTCTATGAACTTCTCACCCTCACTGTACGGATAACGATGTTGATCATTGTCGAAATCGCGGTAACCATGCATATAATCGATGTCATTCCTAGTCATGTTAGAACTTGTTTTAACCATAGAAAGGCTGAATCAATTTACCAGATAGTCTCCAGCGGGATTTCAAACTTCTCAAAGTTAGAGACAACTTCTTCAAGCTCGGTCCAGTTATTGTATCCCCAGCGGCACTGGTGGAAGCCAAAAGTAAAGTACTGCTGCAAGGCTGGCAAGCCAATGGTGCTCAACTGGTAGTTCTTGGTCACATCCGCTTGGCTAGGACCCGAGTAGAAAGTGAGATCAATGCTACCTCCCAGGGTTCGCCATTTCAAGCCCTCAGGATTCATAATAATTTCCTGGCCATGAGCATTTCTAGAGAAGACACCGTGTGAGAAGGAAACATAGTCCTTAGACTGATCGGCCTTGTCACTTGCAACGAGGGTGTGGTGACCGTGGCTAACCTCATAGTAGCGGGTGTCCAAATAGAAAGGATGGGAGCCATAAACATTGCTGGTAAAAGTAGTCAGTATCAGAATAGAAGTAAAAAGCGAGGAGAAAAAGATGTATAGGGAATGAAACTCACCCATCAATAGGGTCACCAATATCCGACGCATATAGAGTTAGAGTGAGGTTGTTCAAGAGGCGCAGCTGCTGGATGTGCTCTCCGATGCCATACAAGTTATAATCCTTGGGCAATGAGGTAACAAACTCGACAAACTGGTCCTCAAACACCAGGACCGAACCAGTGGTGTCGAAGATGGCGTCATGGGTAGCCTTGCGGGTCACTTTGAAATGGAAAGAAGGTTCATTCGACCAGGTGATCTCAAGATCACTATGCGTCTTTGATGCATGATCATCGGAAGTGGGTCGGGGAACGACATGCTCGTCCAACACGAACCAAGAGTAGTTCGAAGAATCGAGATATGTCGGGACGATTTGAACGTTGAGGCGGTCATTAGCAAGGTATTCGATGGAAAAGTCCAACGAGTCTACATCGGTGCCATAAACATTGCATGGCTTTCCGGCTATCGTCAGAGTAGCGGTTAATCCGCGAGCAGACTCCCTGACGTTTGATGCCTTGTACCCGGGACAAACCGACTGCGCGTTGACGGCTTCAGGGTCATCAATATTAGCGATCAGCTGCGCGCCAGTATCGACGCCAGGGGGAATTGTGAATTGAGAGTATTTTCCCGAAGAGATCGAAGAAGCGGCAGAGTGAGAGTCCGAGGCCGTAGGGCCGGATGTCGAGAAGGCACCATAGGCTGCTGGCAAGAGCCAAGCACCGCTAAGAAGGATCTTCACACCAACCATAATCACTACTTTCCTATTTTGGATGTAGATCAGGGCGTGATTTTCGTTTCAGATAATCATGTCCCAGCTCGTTTTTATAGGTTGAGCGTAAGCAGTTCGTCGTAGCACCGCCCTTGTACAGGAACTGGCAGGAACTGGCAGGAACTGGCAGGAACTGGCAGGAACTGGCAGGAACTCAACGGTATACCGAACCCAAAAGAATTTCCGTTGATTCTCCGATGCAATCACATACTTTGCGCAGGGGTTGAATGAATTTACGGGGCTGGTCAAGCTTCAAGCTAAGGAAAGATGGAGACTGGAGAGGCTGGGTGAAATGCGGAGAGGAGATCCCTTACGTCGACCCGACATAGCGTCCACTACGGAAGTAATAGGGCTGTATAACCCGACAATGTACACAAAAGAGGGGTAGGAGTGCATTTTAGACTATTAGAGGTTATACATAGAAAGAAAGGTCTATTGTACAAAGTATGGCTTTTTTGAACTGCCTTCGAATACATTTACAAAGATATTTAAAAACACATACCAGAAAGATATCACGAGGCCGCATAGGCGATCATTCTTGTCTTTTTTAATATCAAATATATTACAAAATAAAAATAAGTCAATCCAGAGTAGTGGTAGATAACTATTTCTCCGGGCTTTCATAAGACCATCATGTGGTATGGTAGCGCTGGAAATAGTCCGTTCTATAGTTACTGTGTATGAGAACACTAATAAGTAGTCCACGAGTGTATAACCCTGCTCAGGTGGAATATAATTACTCCGGATCATCATGCAATTCATATAAATACTGACGATCACTATATGTCCTGTCATCCTAGACTGGTGATTGGCCAGTTGTCCGACAAATGCCCGTGTACAATAGTGCCAGGCTACAGAGTCCAAGACACTGGAATTAATATACAGAGACCCGCTTATACACTATAATTTCATCATTATAATCTTATAATTCTCTATATGGCAAGCTGCGGTGAGTTCTTTTTCTCTAGTGGAGAATCTTATAACTACAGGATTGCCCAGACTTTTGATAGATTTTGGACTAATGTTAAAACTCTTGAAGGAACATTATTGAGTTGGTCAAAGGAGTCTGAAGTAATTCTAGGCCTCTGGCAGGAATATCGTTCGCCAGGACTCCGTACAAACTATGCAGACTATACCGGAATATGCGCGTCAATCCCCCGCATGATATACATAGAAGATAGTGCCCCTTTCCTTTTACACTTTCGGGAAGCCGAGGATACGAGATAGAGAATGGGCCATCTCGGCAAGGGTGGTAGGTGTGTAGGTCCCCAAACTATGCCTAAACCAACGAAGTCGAAAAGAAAGATTGGATCGGATATCAACATGTGAAACGGAGATGAATGCTCAGCCTAGCCTAGTGGCGTCCACTCTATGCTAACCCAGTTAAAAGGAGTGAGAAAATCCCGCATCTTTGATCTTGGTGTACCTGTCAATCATCCATAATATGTTGGGCATCAGAGCCGACTTGGCCCCGTAATGACCCCGTAGGTACTCCGTACTCCGTACCTGGCTAAAGCCCTGCGGGGGGGGGACTTTGCTTACGGGCCGAGATTTTTTGGCATTTATAATTATAATACTGTCTGCACAAGACCATAAAGATATATGGAACGGAGTAGTCACTCGATTCAGTCAACTTTCCTGGTGATCTTCAGGATCGTATGCCTTGTATTCTTTATAGTCCAGAGGCTGAGGGGGTACCTACGGAGATATGTACGTAGACTTTGAGAGAAGTCGGGCCGAGAGAAAACGCCCCCTCCAGAAGAGAACTCTTGGGAAGTAATAGTAATATCCATACCTAGGTAAAGATGATAATCAGAAAGAATATCAAGAATAAGAATCAAAATATGAAGCACAATTCTAACGCAGGGGCCTTTGCGGGGATTTTTCCCTTTTCCTTGACCCCCCCGCTTCCCCAGGCTTTTTATTATAATGAGCCATGCCAAACTCCCCTGGATGAAACAATCACAATCTCTCTTCTTTTTATATATTCGAACCCTAACATGAACTTCAACTCTATTGAGTCTAGTAAAGACTTAACAATTTAACAATGTCGACCAAACAATCCAAGCCAAAACAAGCATGTGACAACTGTCGTCGTCGCAAAATAAAATGCTCCCGTGAACTACCATGCGATAAATGCAACCGGCTACTTCTCTCCTGTTCCTATAGCGATATCCTCCGTCGCAAGGGTCCCAAATTCCGCACCCTGTACCCCCTGGCCCCGATCCACCCTCTCTCATCCCGACAAGACCCTCCCGAACATATGTATTCCGAGGATACCGGTACCGGCGAGATCCCGGACTACCAATTCAACTCGCCCATCTCGCCAGGATTTGTAATCGCAGACTCGCAGTTCACAGGCCAGGACTTCTCGGATACATTTTCGCACCTGCAACCCCCGGAACTCGTCTCGTCTCCAGGCTCCACGAACTCAACCGTCGAATCCGCCAATGGTTATGGCTATGGATATGCGAGACCGGCCGCCCGCCGTCTCTCCCCGCAAATTCTGCTCGTTCATGTCAATATCTACCTCAAATACTTATTCCCCATTATGCCGGTGGTCAGGGCGGACCAGCTCCGGCTGGATTGCCATCAACCCGGGCAGCTGTCTGCGCAGCGGTATGCGTTTTTGGCATCCCTGTGTGCGGCTACACATATCCAGTTGAAGCTGGATGGGGCCACGCCTGTGCCGGATCCTGCGCGTTTGCAGGGTATGAGTATTGGGGATGGACACTCGTTGATGTCTGGGGAAGACCTTCTTTCAGAGGCTGTGCGGGCGCGGCTTGATTGTGATGTTTTGGAAGAACTTAGCACGGAGTCACTTTTGACTTCGTTCTTTTTGTTTGCCTCGTATGGGAATCTTGATCGTCAGGACCAGGCTTGGTTCTTTTTGTGCCAGGCGACCTCGTTTGCATTTACGCTTGGCTTGCATCGCGAGTCGACGTATGCAGAGTATGAGGTTGAAGCAGCGGAGGAAAGACGGCGTGTGTTCTGGCTTTTGTTTATCACAGAGAGGTGAGTGGCCCGAGTATGAAGGAACAGTGGTATTTTGGACTGGGGCTGATTTGTAAATAGAGGTTATGCTCTCCAGCAAGCAAAGCCGGTTATGCTGCGCAGCTCTATTCATAAGCCTCAGGTCCTCGGATCGGAAGATCCTATCCTGGCTTATGGATTCATCAACTTGATCAACATCTTTGAGAATCTCACCCCGAATCTTTATGATTGGATGTCCGCCGGTGGCGGGGATGGAATCTTGGAGAGGCCGCCAACATCTGCCATTCAATCCAGCTTGTGCAAGGCTATTTCCCTAGACGGAGTCCTTGAGATCCAGCAGGTTGATATCTTGATCACGCAACAGTGGCTGCAGTCGATGATGTGGAAACTGTCCATGAGCCATGCCACGCAGGCTGGTTCGCGCGATGACGCGGTTTTACCATTTCATCTACCAGTGGTGGTGGGTAAATCTGTGATGAGCGTGATCGGTGCTGCATCGCAGGGGGCCGTTGATGCGCATGGAATCGGAATGGTAGGTCAATCCAAATGAATTGTTGATTCGTATACTTATGGATGTTATAGGAGCAAAAGCTCTTTGATCTAGGATCCTCTGTCGCCGATGTGACGAGATCCCTTGGACCAAAAGCCGTCCATAGACTGGCTGAATCGATTATTGACCCGAACGAGTTGCTGTGGGGTATACTTCACACGCTTTCTCAGATTCGTGGCTCGCCCTCGTACCTCTTCCCTACATTGCTGGATCGTTGCAGAACCGTGCTTGGACTCGACTGCAACATCACTACAGGGAATTTCCTTCCTATACTTGGTGCTGCTGTGCCGGATCAGTTGGCTTCATGGTCTGGCCAGCATGTCTGGGATTATGCAGTCAGTGCCGAGGATATTGAGATCCATGATGTCGATGGCCAAGCGGAGACTGGTCCTCATCCGCATGTGCCGCGGGAACTGGGCTTCGAAGATTGTCTCTTGTGATGATGTCTAACGCATGTGTGATGAGGACTGCTTGTTTTGTGATACCAAGTGGAGTTTTTATAGATGGTTTTTTATGATACCGAGGAATAATCGAATTATAGAGCACGAGCAATGTTTCAATATATCAAATCCATGGCCATTGTAGTCGATCTACGCGTAGTCGAGAAGGAAGCTCATACTCGTGAGCGTAGTCAAAATGTCTTGGCATGTTTGTCTCGGCATCGAATCTCCAATTTGGCGATCGGCTTCATGCGACAGTCCAAGGTTCTCTCAATTGCTCGGGATACTCTTCACTGGTATGCTTTCTATTACTTCCATTGCTCCTTGCAATTCCCAATTAACACTTTCTCACAGGTAATTCTCGGGTCTCCGCACTAAGTAAAGCTCAACAGAGCACTAAAACGCCGGAGCTAATTCTCCATTGAACCTCAAATCTCGCTCACAACGAAGACCATTACCTCCACAATGGCCTCCCTCCGACCCCGTACCCTCCCTCTCTCCATCCGAGCCCTCCGCTCAACCCTCCGCTCACCAAAGCCCTCACAAAACCACCTCTTCTCCGCACCCGCATGCGCCCCATCAACCCAAACACACCCAACCCGTGCGCACTCAACAACCTCCGTCTCCGCCGATGAACTATCCCACTTCTCCAGCCTCGCCAGTTCCTGGTGGGACCCAATGGGCCCCTCTCGAATCCTCCACCTAATGAACCCCCTCCGCCACGAATTCATCGCCTCCTGCCTAGCAGAAGGAACCCCATCACCAGACCCAAGCTCCACAACCGCAACCCTGAACTACCTCGACGTAGGCTGCGGCGGCGGCATCTTCGCCGAGTCCCTCGCCCGCACAATCCCAATGGACCCAACCAGCCCAGCGCCAACCCCAACCCTCGCCGCCTCAATGACCGCAATCGACCCCTCAACAGACCTAATCCAAATGGCGCGCGAGCACGCGCGCATGGATCCAACCGTCGACACGCACCTGCGCACAGGTCG